AACCCTCCCAAAAGGCCTCGTGCTAGGTAGAGAAGAGAATATACATATAAGGCTTACAGGATCCACTCTCCTGGGCGATGTGGGATGTAACACATCCCCAATGACAATTATGTCGTATTTGAAGATGAAACCCAATATTCTAGTCGAAATCTTGATGAGTTTTGTTAGATTCTAGTGAAATCTCCTTGATTTTGAATCCTCTATCGCAACCCATGCATTGAATGAGATGTGTGTTATTTCGAGATACCTTACATGATTCGAGATCCTTTCTTGAAGCTCTAAGGAGACGTATTTCTAGCATTCAATGAGAGTCCTTGTGAAGACGGAACATATTAAACGTTGGGAGAATCCTAATAGGAAATCTAGAAGAATATCCTTTCATATTAGGTTAGTGATTACTTGGATGCATATACCAATCCCCATGACAATAGGAGTTCTCAAGATTCTCTATTAATTAGAACTAGCATATGGGTTTAACAGATTTTATTTAAAATTTCTCTTCGTTCCTATTTCTCTCTCATCAACTCTCCTGAACTTCTCTTTGCAACTCTCTTGCCAAAAGCCTCTTTAACCGCCCATCTTCTTCTACGTTCTTCTCAAGCGCAATCATTTCAGTTCATTCAAACTATCTAAAAAATATTATGATTTCACTTACCTCAAACTCCCACGCATTGCAGAAACTCCAAAATTTGGTTTATACTTTTAGATTAAGATGCCCAATTCGTTTTGATTCAAAATAAGTCATTACCATTCCCACCCTTGCTTCTGTTGTTGTTGATCGTCATAAGTCAACCACTTCCGTCGGTTATAGGGGCCTCTCCTTCCTGTGGCAGCACCAAGGTTGTTCAAAGTAATCGTCATCATCACCCAATCTCGACGACTTCCTTCCAAATTGTCGAGCCCAGGTTTAATTTTAATTCTCTGAATAGCTTTTGCAATAATTTTTTGTTTTTGTTTTTGAAATAAAAGGAGAATGATAAAGAATGTAAGAGTGGGAAGTTTTATTTTATTTTATTTTATTTTTATTTTTTTAATTTTTAATTAGAGATATGTTAGAATTACATGTAGGTAAAGCTTTGAAAAAAAAACAGCAAAATTTAATTGTGTGAAATTACATTTCTACCCATATTTCTTATTCATATTCTATTTTAATTAGAAGGTTAAACTGGTAATTTCATAGGATTTTGGTTGACAATGAATGTTTTATTAATTAGTAGAGATATGATCATAGATACACTTTTTGAGGGGCAAGTAGGTCATTCTCGATAAGAGTGGGCCTTATCTATTGTTTCGGTGCTTATTAGATTGACTTGTTTCGATAATACATTTAGTAATCAGACCATGTAGGTTATTAGAAAAATATTGATCTAATTGTGTAAGGCTGAGGGTCTAGAATTTGATCTAAGCTATCATTTCTAAAGCTCTACTAATTCCTCTAAGGTCGGTCTTCGTAGCTTCCCCCTTGGTCCGATTATCTGAAAATCATGTTCCCACACAATTTACTAATTACAACCTCACATAAGCATATAAATCTTCTAATTGTGAATAGTCATTTCAACTTATAATATCTTTAGGCTTATAATATGCTTTTGGTAAAGAGCATCCACAATGAGGGCTCTATCCTCCTTGAGGCTATTATATTTGAAGCCCTAATAAGAAATTTCATCTCCAATGATCCGTAAAATGGAGCTACATCCACCACATGGGCTAGCAACTTCCTTTCTTGGGTAGCAAAAGTTAGGGCAATAATAAAATTTATTGCGTAATCATATTATTACATAAATAAATAAAGAGAATTGTTATTAACACTCGTAAAATCTCATTAAACACTCCAAACTTTCTATAACTAGAAAGAAAAATACACTTGTTAACACGCTCCAACCTTGATATCCCCAAATACCAGGATGGGCACATGTTGGCCGACACCCGAGGGTGACGAAGCCATTTTAAACATGCATACAATAAGATAGGTAACTAGAAAGAAATATGTCGATGTGAAAACATGTTCAGAACATACAACTAATCAAGAAATATATGAAAGAATTACAATAAAATATATGAATAAAAGAGTGGGTCCTACGCTGAAAAGACTTGTAGATACCTACGTAAAGGTGCCTTGATGCCGGGATTAAATGCCTCGATTCTAACTCCTAAGGGGGTGCAGAACAAAAGAGTGAGTAGACCAAAGTTGATAATAATAATACTAATAATAAGAAAACCGTTTTATTTAAGAACATACTAACCCCCTGTTTTGAAAACATATAATACTACATATAGTAAGTTTTCTAAAAACTCTAGCATGCCATGAAATCATTCGTAAAAACAAGTACGAGTAAAACAATGCTTAATAATGGTGCTATCGTCGCCCATAGGCAAATCCATAAATCTCATCAATATTGTACTCTTGAGGGGTATCATAGTTGCCCGAAGGCAGTACTTGTCCATCACCCAAAGGTGAAGCTGTACAACACTGGGTTATGCTAGTGAAGAAACATGGTAGGCCCCATCACCCAAAAGTGAAGCTGTACGACTCTGGGTTACGCCAGAGAAGAAATATATTTATATGTTGCATAACACACCGACATTAAACATGGTTAGTGAAGCTGTCCGACACTGGTTTGCCAGTAAAGCTGGGGGTATAACATAAGTATCATCAACTGTGTCCTATGGCCATAGACTACATACATGTGTTGTGTGTATGTGCCGTATGATAACCCACTAGATAATCACTAAAAACATATCTCAAAAACTCATGCCAAAACACCAGAGCTCAAAAGCTAAAAACCTTGTCAAATAAATCCATGCTAATTCATATTCGTAAATTCACATAATTCATATGTATAAATCCAATAATTCATAACCTTTAGTAGAATGTAAATTTGATAAATCATAAATATTTCGTAAAGTAATTTAAATAAATCATAAATTCTCCGCAAACCAAAAATATGAAAATCCGTAAAACATACTTTAAAACATACTCAAACGATGGAGGACGGGGTCACTTCTCACCAATGCACCTAACCACAATTAGAGACCAATTAATAAAAATCTACTATAACGATAGAATTTGAAAAAACAGACATTGAAGTTGGATTCGACGCGTCGAAAAACCTAAGGAGGGACATCGGGTTCCCCCACTCACCCCACAAGGTGGCGACCCGGAAGGCCACATGCCACCATGCGCCGAGATGGGTCGCTGGATCCGAGTCGAGTTGGGTCGTGACCATGGAACTGGGTATCAAACTTGGGTCGGGTCGAATCTGGGTTCTGGGTTTGATAGGTTGGACCAAGTTGAGGTTATTAAGCCAAGGCTTTGGGCCGGGTTAATAGGTTGGATAATAGATTGGACTTGGGCCGGGATTTGAGTTGCGGGTCGGGTGGACCTAATTGGGCTCGCGGGTCACTAAACCTAACGAAGGAGAAAACCAGAATTTAAGGACTTTGGCCAGGAAACTTCCCCAGCTCCATTTTGGGGTCAAATCTCCACCATTTACAATTATTAAAAATAAAACAAAGTGAAGCTAAGGAATAGGAGAACAAGGATTTACTAACTTGAGGGCTGACCATGGTCGGAACTAGCCTGAAATTGGCTCGTAAGCCGTCGGGTTTCTCCAGAAAAACTCGGGATAGAAAAACATGCACAGACAAGGTTAAAACCTTCGATTTTAAACTCAAAAATCACCTAAACAACCTAAACACATCGAACTCACCTCAGTTTCGTTGGATTCCAAGTTGAGTCGCCGAAGAAATGGTTATTCCGTCGTGCATGCACAGTTGCAGAGTTGACATGGACGAGAGGGAGGATATGGAGTGATGCTCTGGGGTGAAGTTGGCCTCTTGAAGCTTGATGGTCTCAGATCGGTTTGGGAGAAGAGAGTGAGTGAGATGAGAGGGAGGTGTCGAGCTAGGTGAAGGGAGAGGGAGAGAGAGAGAGATAGATGTCACGGGAGTGGAAAAAAAAAGAACTATGGGCCGGGTTGAGGTGAGTCCCACACATCAAAGCATGAACATCAACGAAAAAGAATCAACTGTTCCATCATCAGGGGTAATTTCGTAAATTTACATGTAATTTTTAATACGGGTTGTTACACTTGTGAGGATTGTAGAATAAGACTTGTTAAATACTTGGATGAACACTCATTATATTCTTGTTCTCTATGTTTTCAATATGTTCTAATATATGTCATTTTATTTGAAAACAATTATGTACTTTTTTAAGTATAAGTATGCATTCATTTATGTTACTTAATAAATTTAATTTAAATTAAAAAAAACCGCATGGGCCCGTCTAGAGGCCTAGACGCTAAGACCCTGCCCAATGCCCCATTAGGGCTTTTTAGAACCTTGGTTCCTCCATTTCAAATCTTTTCCTTTTGTGTATAGTTTAAATGTAAAGACTAAAAAGAAAAAACATGTAATGCACAACATGAGCCGCGTATGTTATATTATGTTAGAATGTGAACATACAATCCACGTAAACAATATAAGTAATGTGTAAGCACATTAGGCGCCATTGGGCGCAACACTTGGATAATCTGATATTACATAAAAATAGTAAATTAAACCTTACAAGATGTACAATATGTGATTTATTTAAAGTAATATTACCATTAATTATTCCATTCCAATGCCGATTCAGTGCATGCTTACTTACAATGCATGAATTTGCATGGAATGATTATCATTTTCATTCATATTATATCGCACATTTACTAAGAATCAATTAATGGACAAGTATGCGGGCCTCGAATTGATTTTGGTTATGAAATACCTGATTGGGATAACCAAAGGGCGGGATTGTTAACCCATACCCATTTATTCGAATCCGTTTGATTAAACACAAATAATATGGTTTGTAACTAAATCCGCAAAAGCCAGAAACCAAGCCATTCTTTCTAGAATACTGTTCTGCTAACAAACTTCACAATAAAATTGTAATGGCAAACATTTGAATAGGCTTTTCAGCTAAAATGATCACTGAGATTTGCATAACTCATCACTTTGATCCCTGCGGATTTGAAACCAATAGAAGTGAGACCGCTGCATTATGCATCGAGTAACAGTTAAACACCGTAAGAGCAGTGTCCTGATACAAGAATTTTCATTTTCAAAAGCGTTCTAAGGCAACAACATAAATCCGACGAATAGATTAAGCATTCTACGAGCCAAGGGCGAAAACCCTTCGGAACAAAACACTAACAACAATACAACAGCTCAGTGCGAAAACTTGTATCATTTGTGCTGCCCGCAGGAACAATTCTCGGTTCCTACATCAGCTGCAATACATGGAGCCTGAACTTTCTCGTCGTACCAAGTTGAGCGTTTTTCAACTAGTTCATTCAAGAAATCGTCCAACTTTTCGATGTTGACACTTGGCATCACCACAACATGCGCAATATTTCCTTGGCAAGCCAACTGCCACCTACGAACAAACTCTTCATCCTTAGGCCGCTCAAACACCACTGTGCTACTTAGCTCGTTCAGCATGGCACTGATTCCAGCATCACGAAGGCGGCCCTTCAGGTAGTGAGCATTTCTAAGACACTTCTGGACTTCTTTTTGGAACCCCGAGTAACCTTTTTTGTTGAGCGTGTACCATAAGAAAATTGGAGCATGACCGTTCCGGCTTCCCATGATTGTGGCATCCCTCGAAGCTAGGTATTCTACATTCCTTGAAAGGGCATTAATGTGCTCCAGCCTTGTTATCTGAACACCACAAGGCATTGGACATCCAACAAACTTGTGACCAGAAACGCTGACACTCCCAATGGGCTTCTTGAACGAAACTTTTGGTGCCTGCTCATCACCAAGCATAATGAGAAAAGGGAAAGCATCGATCAATAACAGAAAAATATGTGCATATCGTAATTAGGACGCAAAGCAAAATATTACTACAGCTATTTCAGACTAGCTTTTTAAATACAAGCGGACTCTAATCCATCGTGCACTAACCGAGTTGGATTACAAACTTATCAAAAGTTTCATCCTAGAAGTCACAAGATGATTCACTAACAGTATACTATGCTCGTTAATTAATCCTATCCAATCAAAGATGTCAGTGTCATTCAACTAGCCAAACATGAAAAAAGATTATAAACAATCAAGATCAACTAGAGCCAAATCAAAAGCATTCCCAGCAAAATTGCAACGGGAAAACTCTGTGTACGAAACGAAAAACAGTTTGGAACCAAATGAATTAAAGGGAATAAGCATAAGAGACATGTTCCTAGTCACAACAACAAGAGTTGAAATGAGATGACAGACATACACGTTTGACAAAAGGCATCATAAGTCCAAATAATGCTCCGTCGCAGTGAATGTAGAAACGATCTTGCTTGTATCCACATTCTTCAAGGGTCTGTATGACGAGATCCAGGTCGTCAACAGCTCCTTTGACAGTAGTTCCTGCAATTCAAGCAATTCAGTAAACCATCCGACCAATCGGATTACAGAGGTGCACATAATATACACAGCTGAGTTCAATTTGTGTCGATGTGTGTCTCAAATCTTACACATACCAATATTAACGTTGATGATGGCGGGTTTATCCTGGTGAGCAAGAAGTTTAGTTTTAAAATCCGCACAATCAATCTCACCAGAGATCAGACAATCAATCTTTTCGCATTCCATTCTATACATTCGGGCAGCTTTAAATATCGAATAATGCGATTCTCGAGAAGCATACAGAATCCCATCTGGAAATACTTCTCTCCTGCAAGAATTCAATTGCATTATACATCACATCCGATTGTTTTAGCTCCGTCATTACTCATTAGCATATGTGCTGATAAATTAAGAGCAGATTCACACAAACAATTAATCAAACACTTAACATACCCAACTAAGACTCCGTGAAGATTGCCTTCCGTGCCGCAATTGGTGATGTATCCCCAATACTCATTCTTCTCAATCTCCCACAACCGAGCAAACCAATCGAGAACACCGACCTCGAACTGCCTTGAATGGACACCGTAGTTGCTCTCGATAAACGGATCGCCCAAATTGTTGATGGAGAAATGCTGAAGCTGCGTCAGAGCACCATAGTCGAAGTCCAAATTGTAAGGATAACCTGCATTTCCAATTCCAACCAAAACCCACAATTCAGATTCAATATTGTTTCTTCAATTTCAAATTTCAATCGAAAAAAAAAGGCACAAATGAAGCTTACCCAGATGGTGCTTGGTCCTCTCGATGAGGGTTTTGCGGTAGCGGGCGAGGACGCTGGCCATGTACGCCTCCTTATCGCCGGTGAAATCGTCGTTGGATTCGGGCTCCGTCACGGCGAGGCACGTGGTGTGCACGTTCCGGCCGAGAACCATCTGTTTCTCCCGGCTACCTTTGCGGTCTTCGGCCAATTTTCCGAGGAGATCGCAGTCGTCGGTGCTGGTTACAACCGGAGGCAAAGGCTCCGCAACCACAGCCGTGGGATCGAAATCATCGGATAGCATCTCCACCGCCACAGCTCCGTTCTCGTGATCCATGAAATTTGTAATGTTGAAAGATCGAACGGTCGAGAGGTGGCCGAGCTGCAATACAGATGAGGCGGCGGAAGGAGAGTTTAAAGAAAGACAGGGGAAGGCGTTGGTTTCTATTTATAGTAGTATTTTTCTGAATTGCTAATTGGCGGTTGTGGTTTGCAATAAATATCGACGAGTTTTAGAGAATTTTGTCCTCTGAATTTTTGCCACGTATGAAATAATCAGTCTACGTACTTTTATTTTTGCTTGCTTGTTAAGTTTCAGACCAAAAAATAAAAAATAAAAAAAGCGTGTGGAAGACATCGGAAATCGGTCGGAACATATACATGTGATGATGCTCTGATCAAATTTCACGTGATAGCATCAATGATGTGGACCCATAAAACCCCAAACAAATGTTTATTAGGTTTCGCCTAGAGATGATTTAATCATCAAATTTTGTTTAGTTGTATGTCTTAAATTTTCGGTAGACGGGTCATGGGCTTACTTCAACAATATCAACAATACTATCTCTATTTGGTCACTTGTTTAATCCATTAGGTATGAGGTTTTAATATAAAATGTCTTGATGCTAGTAAGAGTAGGGTTTCTATTTAAAAGGCTTGTTCTCAAGCCTTCTGGCTGATGTGGGACATAAGAATTCTAACAGTATGTCGATTTTCTTTTCAAATTTGTAAGGAACTGTCATTTTTTTTCTCTATAAATTTTAATTTTAATCATTATTTTTTTAGTTTCTTTAATTTTTATAATTGATTAATTTCTTTTTTTTAATTTTAATTTTATAACTAAAAAAAAGTTATTTTAATCTTAATGTAAACAATATATTGTTTCGTCTTCTTCTTCTCTTATGCTAGTTCACTTTGGACACATTTTTTGGGTAAATTTTAGGGTTTAGGAGTACATAGGCCAATTATAAAAGTTTGGTGGGATAATTAGTTAAAATTAAATTTCAGAGAAAAATTAGTTAATTATAAAAGTTCATGAGGATAATTGACTAAATTAAAGTTCAAGTAAGAAATTGGCATTTGCTTACAAATTAGTAGGAAATCAGCTAATACCTCAATTTTTTTATATTGTTAATTAACAATTTAGAAATTGAGAATGATGAAGATTGGTTAAAATCTTTGAATCTTAATTGTCCAGATCCTGCGAATTAATCAGCAAGTCGCAACCCCGCTGCAAAAGGGATCGTCCCCTTCGTTCTCCCCCTCCCCAGCTGTCGCAGATCCATCCACTTGACATGAATTTGGACATGGGCATCGACTTGGCTCGATGGATCTTAATGCAGTACCGTTTATGAAGGAACAGCCGGGCATCGATTAGACGACGACCTTCGTCAGAGAAGTAGCCGGGCATCACCGAGAGACATCGTGGACCACGTTTTGCAATGTGGCCTTGAGGTTTACAAGAGATTTTTCAGTGCGACCGTGGTACATCATGTGTTCTTATATAAATAATGAGATATGTGTGTTAAAAGGTTAACAACTTAAAAATTAAAAATTTTCACTACTTACATAAAAATACATGATATACCATTTATATTTCCGTCAAAATTAAAAATTTCTCAAGATTTACGGGAATCATAAAGATGAGGAGAGGATTAAGCCGATAAAGATATTCATATGCTATGATCAATCATATCTAGAAGTCGGCACCAACCACGATAATTAAAAACGATGACGTACTTACGGGAATCATATCAATAGGAATGGGCCCGTTGTAGGAAAATGAATATTCAGCAAAAAGATTGAATCACGTGGAGCCACTTCTGAATCTACCTCTTTGTCGATTAAATGATGAAGGATGACTCCTCCTTTATTTATTTATTTATTGTAGCTGTTACGAGTACTCAAGAGTCAAGAGTTGGATAATTTTTATTTTTTTTTGAAATAGAGAGTTGGAGATTTTGTATGTGCGTGTGTGCGCAATTGCTTGTGGCCACGTTATCTGTGAGGACCATTGAATCCGAAATGAACGGGTGAAGGCCATGTGGGCATGGGGGGCTCACCTCAAATGCATGGCCTACTAACTCGGCTCATATCAAGCATTAGCCTATGGTAAATATTACCTCCAAATTTGACAAATCAGCTAATATTTTCCACGGTCAACACCATGAAATACTATTCAAAGTTGTTTAAATACTCTTTAGCAAACCTTAGATGAGAATTTTGATGGAAATGCCTGAATAAAATGACTGCAAGTGTATAAAAATTTGTGTTGGAGAATAGATCCTAATATCATCGAGGTATTTGTGATAAGATCTAACACCTAGTAATATGTAGTTTTTTTTTTTTTTTTTTTGAAGCAAGCTATTCTTTCGACACGTCCTGAGCCCGCTTTTACTAGGCTCGAATTTGTCTCTTTTAAGTTGGGTTTTTGAAAAGTTGTGTTAGCTCTGTATCATGACTTGACCAATTTTCAATGTGGGAATTAGTTCCTCTTGTGATCTCGTGTGAAGCCACTCATGAAGGGGTATGTTGAAGAATAAGATCTCACATAAATTATAAAACAAATAATATACAATTAATATAAGGTAAAAGACTGTTTACTACGCTCATGTTTTGTGGTTTTCAACATTTAGTACATTAAGTTTTTTTCGTCTCAGATTCATACCTAAAGTGTAAATTTTGGAATAGTCTCATATATCTATTAGTCAAATTGTTAAATTTATCGTTAATTGTGACGTGACGCCATGACTAGGCGCCATGTGTCATCCACGTTTTTTTTTTCCTTTTTTTTTCTTCTTTCTTCTTCTTCCTTCTTCTGCAACTTTTTTTGTTTTTTTTAGTTCCTTCTTCTGCAACTTTTTTTGTTTTTTTTACTTCCTCCTTCTTCAACTTTTTTTGTTTTTTTTACTTATTCTTCTCCTTCTTCTTCTTCTTCTTCTTCTTCTTCTTCCGACGAATTTGGGGAAGATGAAGGTTTTTTTTTTCTTCCTCCTTCTTCTCCTTCTTCTCCTTCTTCTCTTTCTTCCTTCCTTCCTCCTTCTTCCTTCCCCTTCTTCTTCTTCTTCTTCCTTCTTCTTCCTCCGAATCTGGGGAAGATGAAGGTTTTTCTTTTTTTTATATTTATTTTTCTTTCTTCTTTCTTTTTCTTCCTCCTTCTTCTTCTTCTTCTTCCTCCCACTGCAACTTTTTTTTTCTTCCTTCTTCTACTTACTCCTTCTTCTTCTCCTTCTTCCTTCCTCCTTCTTCCTTCTTCCTTATTCTTCATCTTCCTCAAAAAAAAAAAAAAAAAAAAAAAAAAAAAACCTTCATCTTCCCTAGATCTTCCTCCTTCTTCCTTCCCCTTCTCCTCCTCTTCCTTCTTCCTTCTTCTTCATCTTCCTCAAAAAAAAAAAAAAAAAAAAACCTTCATCTTCCCTAGATTCAAGGAAGAAGAAGGAAGAAGAAGGAGAAGAAGGAAGAAGAAGGAAGAAGGAGAAGAAGGGGAAGGAAGAAGGAGGAAGAAAGAAGGAGAAGAAGGAGGAAGAAAAAAAAAAGGTTGCAGTCGGAGGAAGAAGAAGAAAAAAGAAAAAAAAAAAAAACTTCCCCAGATTCGGAGGAAGAAGAAGAAGAAGAAGGAGAAGGGGAAGGAGAAGGAAGAAGAAGGAAGAAGGAGAAGAAAGGGAAGGAAGAATGAGGAAGGAGGAAGGAAGAAGGAGAAGGAGGAAGAAAAAAAAATTGCAGAAGAAAGACGAAAAGAAGAAAGAAAAGAAAAAAAAAACGTGGATGACACGTGGCGTCCAGTCATGGCGCCACGTCATAATTAACGGCAAATTTAACAGTTTGACTAACAGATGTATGAGACTGTTCCAAAATTTACACTTTAGGTATGAATCGGAGACAAAAAAACTTGATGTACTAAATGTTGAAAACCACAAAACATGAGAATAGTAAACAATATTTTACCCATTAATATATATATAAGTTTTCATCCATAATATCACCAATTTACTGGGCTCAAATCAGTTGCAAGATAGGCAAAAAAGTGACATCCCCATGCATTTCGGCTATTTTTCTTCATAAAGCCCACCATGTGATGGCTTGGTGAAGAGAATTGTTGTGAGGGCTGAGAATCTTCGATAGTTCCACTTCGTGTACTACTGTTAGAGCACAATGCTTGAGGTGTTAAAGGCGGACTTCTCCAATAGGTCGGAATCAGTGAGTCGTACATTTTTGTGTGTGTATGCAATTGCTTGGGGCCATGTTATTTGCAATGACCAATTGCTTGTTAATGACAATCTAAAATTCTTATTATGCACTTATTATAAGTGTATTTTTCTTTCTAATTATGTGCCAAATATTTGAATTATGTTATGATAAATCAAATTATGTTTGAATCAGTTATCTCCCAATTTTAATAACATAATTAAGATTTTTTTTAACATGAATCTTAATTAACAAGTCATGCATAGCCACCTTTATATAGTGGAGTGGCTATCATGGCAAAAAAAATCATATCTGTTGTAGAGGAAAATAATTTGAGTGAGAATAAAAGAATTCTTATTAGAGAATTTCGTAGTGTTATAATGTGAGACATAACCATCTTTATAAGGTGATGTGACTATTATGAAAAATTACACAAATACCCCTAATTCAATATGGAGAAATCAATTGAGGAATCAATGACCTAACAGTTACACCAATTAGTGGATTGACATAAATGTCATGCAACACTCTCCTCTGGACATTCATGAATTATTCAGTTGGGCAATCCGGGAACTCCATGTCAATGCCTCTTCTTTGTCTCTTCCAAACTTAAATGTATGCTCTTCATGCGGACGATGAGAAAAAAAAAAAAAAAAAACCAAGCATAGAGAAAAATCAATAGTCGGCGTGGGAGAAACTTCGTACTCCTGGAAATTTCTATCTATATATGTGAAAACAAACTCAAGTGGAGGATTTTTAGTAAAACCAGTATTGTAAGGTTGGATGACGAAAACTGGTGTTTCATTAACAACCTTTTTGAGCAAAACCAGTAGGATAAACGTACTGAAGGGAAAAGAGTATACGAGCCAAAACGTCGACATCTACGGGATGCCTCGCCTTAACTAGCCCATGGCTGGGTCCTTCCCGTGAGCATTTGCAACAACAGAACCACCCTTGAAATATTTGGAATGGATATATGAAACCTTGTTTCCGA